CATCAAGGTCTCGCTCGAATTCAAACCCACAGACGAGAACACGCGCTTCTTCGCCGTGCCGTCGACCGGCGCCGCGCTGCTGCTCGTCGAGGAGATCGACCGGCCCAACATGGGCCTCACGATCGACTTTGGCCACTGCCTCGCGGCGGGCGAGAACCCGGCGCAGAGCGCGGCGATGGTCGGCTCGCGGGGCAAGCTCTTCGGCATCCAGCTGAACGACGGCTACACGCGGCTCGGCGCCGAGGACGGCCTCATCCTGGGCTCGGTCCACCCGCACATGGCGCTCGAGTTCGTGCGCTGGCTGCAGAAGACCGACTTCAGCGGGCACGTCTACTTTGATACCTTCCCGCGCAACGAGGACCCCGTGCGCGAGGCCGAGTACAACATCCGCAAGTTCAAGCGCCTCTGGCGGCAGGCGAAGCAGCTGCAGCAGGCGGGCATCGACGAGCTGATGGCGCGGCAGGACGCGATGGCCGTGCTCGAGATGCTCGAGGCGCAGGGGATGTAGGCGTGCGCGTGGTTACAGGTTAGCAGGGTGACAGACAAGAGGTAAGAGGCGACATGCATACTTGCTCATGCTTGTACATGTCACGAACTAAAATCGCAAACCCTGTCAGCAGCCCACCTTCGGGTATTTTAGCTTAATGATAGAACACCTGGGTGCTTGGACGGCTGTCGTTCAAACGACGTCCACAGCGCCAATCAATTTGGCCCCAGCTCTTCGGCTCGCTCCGCTCGCTCGCTCGCCGGTGAGTTGGTTGGTTGCTGGCAGCACCCCAGCACCGGGGGTCGTGAGAGCTGTTGGTTGCCGCTCGTTCACAGCACTGTGCGGAACAAGGGTTGCAACCTTAACCCTAGTAGGTGGATAGTGTCGCTGTTTTCGAAAGGCGCTGACGGCCCGGCGCGTACCGCGCGACGCCCGGGCTACCCACCAGTGAAAGGCCTATACCAACCCTTCAAAATGACCTACTAACTTTGGTACACTCTCACTTTGATATTTCCCGCGGTGCACACTCAAAGTCCGGAAATCTCACAGACGCGCGCGTTTTGGCCGGCTACCCCATCGGGTCGCACGGAGACACGGGAAGGCTGCCGCAAGCCGCCTCCGGGTGCAGGGGCCCGACGCGGTAGGCGGGGGCAACAGCCCGGTAGCTGGCCGCGCCTCTCCGCCCCGCCCGTCGCCGCTGCACCCCTTGCCGCGGCCCTCGTCGCTGCTGCAGCGACGACAGCCGCGGCACGAGGTCAGAACGCGGCCTCGGAGAGCTCGAGCGAAGGCGCCGACGGTGGCGGCCGTGGTAGTGGTTGATGGTAGAAGGCTCCTGAGCCGTCGGGCACCACGCTCGACGTCGCCGAGGAGCCGCACCCGGCGCGAGCGCCTGCGCGTCGGCGGGTGCCACCGAAGGCGGGTGGGCAGCACCGGGCGGGGCGGCGGAGCTTCTCGAGGCGCGCACGTGCCCCGCGGGTCGTGCGCCGAGGCAGACGGCCGAAGAACCGGTGGAGTATCGCGCCCTCCTTCGCCGTGCCGCGTGTGCGCTGCGCCCGCTCGAGAGGCCGTCGAGAGCAGCGCGGCGCAGCCGATCCGGGCGATGAGCGTGCGCGGAACCGACCGGACCCGTCAATGTCCACTATGCGGGCATGGCCAGGCCGGCGCGGTTTGGTCTGGCGACCTACAGGGCGCGCACCGCGGTTGTGTCAACGCGAGATTCCGCGAGACCGCCTGTCTGACAGGTTATCCACCCACTAGGGTTAAAAAGTACATGTACATCCCCCGGCACGTGCAAACGACGCGGACATTCTTTTGCCCACCGGCGGTACCAGTAGCGCGCCG